CTTGAGGGCCAACAACGGCACCCACAGCCGCCACCACCGCCACCGGTTCCTGACGGTCAGCTACCGCCGCTACCCCCGCCATCTACGTTGCCACCGCCCTTGCCGGCAACATCAGTCCGGACGGATTACATGACAGCGCCGGTCACTCTTGTGGCCACCTCTGACAACCGTACGGAGCGCCCGGCTCACGTCCGCACGGTGAGTGTCAGTACTTCCTGGGAGCACAGACGGAGGAGAAGGTCCAGACATCGGGAGCCTCATCGGCGTCGATGTCGCAGTTACCACCGGCGTCCTCCTGGCCGACCTGACGACGCGGCTCCCACGTCCCGCCGCCATGTCTGCAATCCGAAGTACCCGCCGGCAGTCAAGGCCATGCCGGCGTGTAGACCATCAGGACTGCCGTATGGCCGTTGACGGAACACCAGCGGCAAAAGGACCTCAGTATTTCGGCGCATGCATGTTCACAAGCATCATGTCTTCGCAGTTCCGCAGCCTTACTTGCTTGATTTGTCCTTGCTGTGTGTTCATATGCCATGCAGTTGTCAGTCGAGTTTGTGAATAACCTGGTGGCGGTACTCAATGTCCTTGCGTCCCAAGTTGCGACAGCTCTGGACACCCTGAACTTTGCCCTGATGACCGAGCGAGACCACCCGTCAGACACCAGAGTGTTACCCAGGGCACCACGGAACTCCAGGCACGGGCTGCGCCCTCGCATCAGAGCGCATTTCGACTGACCGATCCCGCTCTCCTACTCGAATTCGAACCCGACCTTTGGACACTTCATCCACCTGGTATATACCGGCCTTATCCCCGCCTCGTGCGGCACATCGGGATGCCGCTGACAACACCTCTGGTCGTCGGCCTGAATCGATGTTGGATCACCTGCCATACAGACGTACATTACTTGGACCCATGGAGCGCAACCGACGTGGCTACAGTTTCACGGACCTGGTGCCCTGCTTGACAGACCCATTCGGCAACCTACGTCACCTCCGCCCCCACCACGTTTCCCACTACTTCTTCCACCTCCGCCTCCACCACCGCCACCACCACCGGTGATTCTACACCCACAGTTTATGCCCTCAGTGCGGAACCCCGCAATCTCGGCTCCTCGCGGACAACCCTGCCCTACCACATCGAAATCGCAGCGCACACGCCGCTCTATCTACAGCACTGAACATTCCCGTGATGAGGATCTACGCAGTCCAGGGCGTTCATCCAAACGATCTCGGACAGCATCCGCTACAGCACCGCGGAGATCTCGGCGACCCTTTACCGTGTTTCCCTCCAAACGTGCTGCTCGTCCATCTCTGTCCCCATTGGCAAATTGCAAGCATTACTGTCATGCCTTCCTGCGCCATGGGCGGAAATGTCTTTCACCTTGTGCTCGCAGACGGCCAGGACATTATCATTGCAGGTGTGCGCGGCATCAGCGGCGGTGAAGCTTAGGCGTCGTATAGTACAAACCTCGCTGCTGTGTCTCACCTTGAGTTTGAAAAGTTGCCTTGCATTGCCTTGATGGACACTCCAGCGGTTGTCATTGCATGTGTGTCTTTGCCGCAGAGTTTCGATTGCTTCTAGCGGCCGCGCGATTGCCTGTTTTGCCGCTATGAACCCTCAATATTTCGAGTACCAGATTGACCGAGGAGTGGAATGGATTCGAATTTCCTCACCGGGCATCTGGCGACCCGTCCCCGATGATGCTCCAGTGGTTCCCCCGATCTACGCTTCCACGTATCGGGAGTGGCGCAGGTCATATCGCTTCCAAGTGTACTGGTCCGAGGACAGCACGGGAGGAACAACCGCGGAACCCATCGTCACGCCCACTTCGTTTGTGTCCACGTGTGGGAGTATCGAGACTGGCAAACACGAGGGTATCAACGACTTGGAGCACCTCTACCAGCGATCGTGAATGCAGACGCCAATTCCTCGGGGGGCTCACCGGTTCCGGATGGGGCGTGGCGAGAGCCGTCACCACCACCATTCTTTGATCCTTGGAACGACTCGGATTGATACTTTGGCAACATGTCGGACAAAATGTCGCGGTTTGACTTGCTTTGTGTTTGATTACATGTCGGGTTGTCTTGCATGGTGTTGTGCGTTCCGTCTTCCTTGGTTCGCCGCTTTCATTTGACTTTAGCGTCTTGCCTGGTTGATATGTTCAATTCTGCAATGCATGGCGCAGCACGATGGGTCCTGCCTCGCTACTTTGACTATGACATCGTCAATGGCCCCGCGAATACGAGTGTTGAATGGATTCGGATCTATGTACCGGGTCCGTGGCATCCTGTCGCCGAGAACACCTTGGGACCAGCCCCGGATGACTCAACCACCTATCGGGAATGGCGCAAAGTTTGCCACTTCGAGGTGTATTGGCCGAGGGATAGCACAGGTGGCACCAATGCAGGTGCTGTTTCACAGCCGGTCTCTTATGCATCCTTCTATACTTGGCACTATCGAGACTGGGTCACCACGGGATATCAACGGCTGGGTCGTCCACACCCTAGCATTGCGCGGCCAGTCTTCGCTTCGGGCGCACCGGGACCTCATGTACGCTGGATTGACCCCTTCGTCGGCATCCTCCAGCTCGGATGGTGGCTGAAGATTGTCCTCACCTTCCTGGGTGTCTGTTCAGTTCACTTCGATTCAGGAGAGTGACTTCGACACCGGAGTCGTGCATTGCTACAAAAGTGATTTCTTGCACTGTTGTTGTTGTGTCTCCGTCTGTAATTGTTCTCTGCAGCCGTATACCTATCAATTTGTCTTTCCGGGTTTGAGTTGTCATGCCGTGGCTGGAGTGGTGTCCTGATCCTCAACAACCAGATGCCCAGTGGGTCAAGGTCTTTCATCCGGGATCATGGACTCCACATCAAGAACATGACGCTCCACCTCCACCGCACACATACGGTGAGCAGCCCAATGTCACCATGTGGTACAAACGAGACTGGGCCACGGAGGGCTATCGGAGAGTCGCTGCCCCTCAAGCTGGTCATGACTCTGATTCGATGTTTTTTCCTGACGCGGCATTGAGTATTTCACCGCAGGTGTTAGAAGCGATCCTTCAATCCTCGGATGCGGCGGCTTTCTCTACCGAAGATCTGACGCGTCTCCATGAGGGGATCTCTCACCAACTCACAGTTCGCGCACGTCACGCTTCCCAACTACATCAACCGGTACGTGCATCTCGAGGAATCACACCACCGGAGACTGTTGGGGTCTCTGACCCATACCGGCCTGTTAATCCTCCCGACAGCAGCAAAGCCAAGGTGAAACCTATCTTCGAGCTCAATGAGGACTAGACTCACGCGAGTGGCGCAGCGTACAAAATAAGGGTGGTCTTTACATTTGCATGACCTTGCCTGGTTGTTGCTTGAACATGGTTGTGCATGATGCCTGTTCCTTTATCAGCTGGATCGGAACCCGCGATACGCCTTGCCTCTTACTTCGACATGGACATCGAGGGTTCGAAGCAGCACCCATGGCTCGAATACTCGGTCTGGCAGGATCAGGAGTGGGTGCGAATCTACACTGCAGGACAACCCCAGCGATGGCACCACGGAGAAAGTGTACCAGATCTACCAGACAATTCTTTTCGGGAATGGCAGCGGGTAGCTGATCCCAATGGGCGTACGGGTGAGCACGGTCAGACATGGACCTTCCGCGACTGGCAGCATCAGGGATACCAGCGCATTCTGTCTCGAATGGAGTCCTTCACTACTCATCATTCGCATGATCAATCTCTTGCTGAAGGTCGGAATTCCGATGACATTCCAGTTGAAGAGACGTTCACCTATGCTACTCCGTTTTCTAATGGTGATCGCTCGACTGCATCACAATTCGCTTCAGTCGTCTATGGCGGCACTCGTAATGCTCAACGTGGTGATCTCTCGTTCCTGTCTTCTGAGCGGTTCAGGGCTGTTTCCCGCTCCCCTCGCCGCGGTGGAATTTTTGGTCAACGATAGGGCCATAAGGTTGAGCATGTGATCTTCCTGCAGAAAAGGAGACTTCTCGCCCCTCATTGAGGGGCGTGTGTGTGCGGAGTGACAGAATGCCCTGTCACCACCTTTTAGGTTTCTCAGCAGGGGGCCAGCGGCCATCAAGCAAACGCTGGCCAACGAAGCTATGCTTGATGGTGGATGCACGGATTGATCACCCGTGTGTACCTGCGTTTGTGAAGTGATGTTGATGAAAGTCCTTTTGGCCCTCTCCTTTCGCTCGCTGTGTGTGCTTCATGTTGGAACTGGTAACGTTTTCGACACTAGAGTGAAACCGAGTGCATTGCGAGCTGAACCCACACCCACTCGAGACTCATCGGTTGTACTCGAGACTCATCAGTTGTACTCGAAAGATTAGCACTCTCCATCTGGAGTTTAAGTGTGTGTGACAGCAGTATGAGACTGTTTGCAGGTTGCATGGAACGCCAGAAGGCTGTTCTTGTACCGGTGTGTGGGGATGCAAGCCACGTCTTGAACAAGGAGGCAGCAACATGGTAAGATTATGGTGATGCTGGTGCTGCAGACATGGGCTCATAGAGGATACTTTGATCCCCCTCGATTCATCGCCTTTCTTCCAATGCTGACGTGCCACATTGTTCTACCCATTGCAATCTCGCCATTCAACATGCTCATTCATGTCATTTGTCCTGCCCTCCCTCCAGTTGTTTTGCTTCCATAGGATGGCCCATCGCGCCGACCGGTCCATAGAGCGTCACAAGTTCTGGGCTTCGTGGATACTATTTAGCATTGGAATCCAATCCCAACACTTCGTAGCTTTGTTTGCGTGGCTTTTGGTATTCTGGATGTGAAGGCTGCCACTGGATTTGTACTTGGACTTGCACGAGTCTTTTCAAGGCTGATAGTGCGTTACTTGCTTCAGGGAAGATGGACCTGACATAGAGTTTGTTGATTGTTACTCCCACCCCTTGCAAGATTTCCCAGGCTTGTTTTGCTTTCGCAAGTGACATTGAAGCCTGGCGAATGGGTCAGGAAGCCCCTTGCAAGGCCTGGCGGGTAAATGACAATTGCCATGCTGGAACTGGCCGGCGAAGACGGAGGCCTGGGACTGCAGTTCTTAAGGCTCGGTGACTTGCTTTCCAGATTCTGAGGTTGATTCTGAACCTTGTTGCGTCAGAGAGTCCCAGAAATAACACGTGGCATGCCGCGGCATGCCCTTACTGCATGTGCCCGGACACAGGCTGATCACATCCTTAAATTTTGTTTTGTCACGAGTCGACCGTTGACATAGCTCTGATCCCGGTACCCCGAAACTTCAAGAGGTCAGGGCTGCACAGAATTTATGTCTTTCTTTCTATAGATTCACGCAAAGTACTTCTTTCTGATGAATGTTTTGTTTGAACGGAGCAATGCTCAAGCTTCGTGTCTGTAAGTCATGACAAGGTATGTAGTGGCCTTTCAACAAGTATCTCTCGCTTCAATGCCCATTGTGTGTGTTCTGGTTTCGGGATTTCTCTTCTAACTTGTGGGCACTGCAATCAGATGTCCCAAAATGACCCCTTCGTGATTGCATGAAGGAGACATTCCAGCGTGTTTGATCAGTTTGAAGTGAGGCCTGAGACAATATTAGCCACATGTGTTCACATGCATTCTCCATGTAAGCTGCATCCGCGGCTTTGCCTCGCCAGCCCTCCGCCAGGAGAGAACAGGAGTCATTCGGTCCGAGCGGTGGTAAGTGCACACGTCCGACCGCCCAGGCACTTGCAGGCTTGTCAGCAACGGCCGGGTATGTATTCCCTCTCTATGTTCAGGAAGGCTACAACTAGTTTGCTGTTCCGATTGCAACATTAGTTCCCCGCTATGGTCTTGGATGCTCTTGGCCAGGGGCTTGCAGGTATGACACGAAGTTGAGCTTCGCTACCGTGCCTTCGTTAAATACTTAAGTATTGTCAATCTTATTGATTACGGATCCCGTGTGCCGCATTGGAGGATCATGCCAGCCGCCTTGAATGCTGGGTCACAAAATGGCGAGTAGAATCGGTCGCTGCCTTCTTTGAACTCAATCTGAATCTTGAAGGCCAACAGAAATTTCGGATATTGACAGATCATTGAGTGACAGTTCTCTTGGCGCGACTCTGCTTGCCCCTGATAAATAGGACTTTTCAGACAAGTCGCTCAAGCAAACTCGATGTTGCAAGTTTCGCGCGCTTTGGTGATTTCCATGGACTTAGGCTACACACACCTGCGTCGCCGTCGTCGACATGCAGGCATCCAGGCCTGGGAGTCTTGTGCAGAAAGTCAACACGGAGTTGCAATGCAGTGGGAGTAAGGAAAGTGGTTCGCTGGAGTAGGGTGGCATGAGTGTGTGTGTGTGTTCGCATTCTGGATCACACACAACAATTATTTTGAAGGGGGTCAGGGCACATCGCTACTTATTCTGACCAATGAAACCGGGTAGCGCAGTTGGATTTGGAGATCGGCCATCTAGTGCGAACGTTGACCTGCTTGGGCTCTTTCTTGTGTTCCGACTTTTCGCGGCGTTCTTGTCAGTTTTCGCAGTCGTGCAAATGGTGAACTGCCTGCAAGTGGACCCTGCTCTTCAGTGTGTGTGTGTGTGTGTGTGGGTGGGTGGGTGGGTGGGTGGGTGGGTGGGTGGGTGGGTGGGTGGGTGGGTGCGTGCGTGCGTGCGTGCGTGCGTTCGCGCGCGCGTGCGTGAGAGACAGAGAGGCAGAAAGAGACTCCAAGCAGGCTGCTGTCACTGCCGCCCAGATGGGCCATGTCAGCCCCCTTCAGCTCTTTCGGGGCAAGAAGTCAAAAAGGTGCCGGCTGGGATCTTGGCGCTTGAGCAGCCGCTAGCCTCGCCTATCGTAGGGACAGCTAGCCGCCTAGTGGTGCTCTCCGCTCGCTTTCCTTTCTGTCAACCATTACGAGGTTGCCATGTCTCCTGCCAGGTCTCCTGACTGCACCCCGCTCTCAAGTTTTTTCTTCTTCTTCTTCTCTGAGTCGCAGCATGTTGCTGCGCGCGCAGCGGAGCCATTTCGTATGTTCATTCTTTGCCTTTGTCACAGAACAACGTGTGTGGGTTCTAGTTGTGAAGCTTCAGTGTTTTTGGTGCAGGTTAGGTGTGCGGGTTTAAACACGTTTCATGTTTTCTTCGAGAAACATGTTTCATGTCGCCTGCGCAATCAATTTTTCGGCAGCTTCCTCCAGTCAGCGACCCCGCTGACCTGGAAATTCGTTTCTTTTGTGTGCCTAGCCAAGCGTATGCTTTCAGGTTTGCCATAGCTCTGTGCATCCAGATCCAAACTGTCTGAGTGGCGGTCACCACAGCGGTTGATCATGTACAAAGTGCGCTGTCAGGCAAAGTGAGTCTGGATCGCGCGAAGCGTACTTGTATTTTAAATGTGGCATCCGGCGGGAGACTCCGGTGGATTGGCAGGTCTATGCGCTTTGCTGGGCCCCTTGGCAGAAGCAGGGCAAGCATTGTGTGTGTTTCAGTTGTTCGGGCCAGTAGTCGGTTTAGATTCGATGTAGTAGTGCAGAGTTGGTGAGGAACTAGACAAGGCTTAAGCTCAGTGCGCAGCCGGACGACGCAGGAATGGCGATTCTGGTGCCCGACGTATCAATGTTCTGACAAGTGGTTCCATTTTTTTTGTAATGGGGTTGTGCAAGCGGCCCGGCCTAGCTCACGATTGTTGACAAATGTGTGGATATGCAAGTGCTTCCTCAGCGGCAGTGATCTCAGTGGCAGCGGCAGAGATCTCAGTGACCCTAGGTTTTGGTACAGTACAAGGAGTCCACCGTGAGAATCGTTTTCGTTTAGGGATCCACTCTTGACTCAATCCTGAACTGAGACAGGCTGATCAAAGGCCTTTGAATTTTGCCTCCCCTGGCGTTTGCTCAGACCCCGTACAGCTGCAGCACTGGCTCCGGCAGCCGCTGCAAGACCTGCAAGAACAAGGAGGATCGTGAGGCGCGTTTTTTTCTCTTCCCCTTTCTCCCAACTTGTGTCGTCATTTTCCTGCAGATTCCGACATTTTCTCTCCCCCAATTTGGCGTCCGCATGCTGCGAGTGCCACACTTAGATGCCTGCATATTTGTAGATTGAGATGTTTGGAGGCTCATGGTTCAAGTTTAGGCCCCCTTTCTAGTTTCCGTTGAGCGCAGGAGCAAAGTATCTTGGAACGAGGTGACAGCAGCTCGAAAACAGCAGCATTTTTCAGTTCTGAGGCTTCATGAACGGATTTTTTGAGGGGACGCCGAAGCTGATGATCTCGAGGCGACGAACCACTGCACTGCCTGCAACAGTGGCTACTACCTCTCCGGCAAAACATGTAAGGCTGGGGCACGAGGGGCCGGCCTGGCAGGAAAGCAGAAAAGCATAAACTGTAGGAGTACAGAGCCTGCACCGTTCTTTCAACAGCTTGACACGTCGCCCTCAACTCGAGATACCCGTCAAGTTTTCCTTCTGGTGCTATCATTTCATTTTGACTTTAACATGGGCTGGGTTTCTTTTTTGTTGCATGGAGATGCAGCCTCCTGGTACCACATTCAATTCGTGTGCTTTGAGATGCGATGCAGGTTGTAGCCATGTGGCACGCAGGCCTACAGCTGCTCGACGGGTTCGGGCAGCAACTGCAAGACGTGCAAGGGCCAGTCTTCCCGCACGGCCTCTTGGTTGAAGTGACGGAGCGGCACAAGTTGAAGGCAAAGCCTTGGGAGGACAGCAGAAGCTGTCTCTTTGTTCCATGCTCACTCAAAGCCTCAAAGCCAGGCCAACAACCAGTGCTCTGCCTGCAACTCTGGCTACGCCCTGGTTGGCACGAGTTGTAAGGCGCTGCTTTGATGTCTGAAGCTGACAGTCCCACGTATGAGAGAACCGCTGCAAGCCAGTTCATCAACCAGGGTGCGTTGAGGATGGGAGTGATCAAAAAGGGTTGATAACACTTGAGCTGGTTGCCAACACGTGCCACGTGACCAAGTGCCTTGGGGACAAGAGCGTTCATTTCTTCAAGGTTTGTTGATAGCATATTGCAGTGTGGCAGTCCAACCTTTGCCAGAACTCCCACACGGTAATCTCCGGCTGGTCTGGCAGCAACGATGATAACACGGCCTCAGCGGCCTGGCGGAGTGGAGGTGTTGAGGTGCAACTGTAGCTTTCCTGCGGTTTCTTCATACTGTTGACAATGTTTACCGTTGCCACCGCCTGAAAAGCTTCCCCCTTTGCCATGACCGGACTGGAGAGAGTATTGACAGTGAGATTGGGGCTGGCAGCTGTTCTCGCACACACTGACTGCGGAAACTAACAAACGACCGAAGATGCAGCATGTCGAAGAGCAGGTTCCTTCCTAGCCTGGCTTGTCACAGTTGCCCTGGCGCAAACATTGTGCATGAACCGCTCCTGTTAACAGCTTTCCTCAACAAAAGATAAAGGTGAGAGCATGTTTGAAGCAAATGCTGAGGCTTCAACCAAATGATGTGCGGCTGGTTCTTCTACTACTACTCCTACAGCGACCTATTGCCCTCTACCTACTACTACTACTACTACTACTACTACTACTACTACTACTCTACCACTACTACTACTACTACTACTACTACTACTACAACTACAACTACAACTACAACTACAACAACTACTACTACTACTACCACCACCACCACCACCACCACCACCACCACCACCACCACCACCACCACCACCACCACCACCACCACCACCACTACTACTACTACTAACTACTACTACTACTACTACAACTACAACTACAACTACAACAACTACTACTACTACTACCACCACCACCACCACCACCACCACCACCACCACCACCACCACCACCACCACCACCACCACCACTACTACTACTACTAACTACTACTACTACTACTACTGCTACTACTACTACTACTACTACTACTGTTACCTACTACCTACTACCTACTACCTACTACGTACTACCTACTACCTACTACCTACTACCTACTACCTACTACCTACTACCTACTACCTACTACCTACCTACTACCTACTACCTACCTACTACCTATTACCTACTACCTATTACCTACTACCTATTACCTACTACCTACTACTTACTACCTACTACCTACTACTTACTACCTACTACCTACTACCTACTGCCTATTACCTTCTACCTTCTACCTTCTTCCACCTTCTACCTTCTACCTTCTACCTTCTACCTACTGCTGCCTACTACTGCCTACCTACTACTACCTACTACTACCTACTACTACCTACTACTACCTACTACTGCCTACTACTGCCTACTGCTGGCTCTACTACGTACTGCCTACTGCAGCCTACTACAACCTACTGCTGCCTTCTACCTAGTGGCTACTACCTACCACCTACTACCTATTCTATTACCTATTGTTTGCTACCTACTACTACCTACTACTACTCACTACTACCTACTACTACAAATGTTACCACTACCTATTATGAATTGGCACTACGTACTACTTACTATTACCTACTACTACCTCCTACTACCTACTACCAACTACTACCTACTACTACCCACTACTATCTACCACTACACTGTGTACCTACTACTACTACCTACGACAACTGCCGCTGCCGCTACTGCTACTGCTACTGCTGGCCAGCGCTTGTGGTTTGCCCGGAGACTCTCTTCCGGGGGGTCTCACGCGCTCAGATTCCCTCGCGCTTGCCAGCGTTTTAGCACCCGCGCCTGATATCGAACGGTCTGCCCTTCGAACATCGGCAAGCCTTCGCGCAACTGCACGGGGTGCGGCTTTTCGATGGGTCACTATGTCGATTTTTTGGGACTACCCTAGGCTCAGCCAGAAGTTAAAAGGTGACAAGTGAAGCTCTCCACACCCTAAAGTGAGGGTGTGAGGGAAAGTTACACCCTAAAACCAAACCCTAAACGGGGGTTTTGCAAGTTAAACCCTTCGAACCCTAAACGAGGGCGAGAGGGCAAGTGCAACCCAAAACAGAACTCTAAAGTGAGGGTTTGAGGGCAATGTTTAGGTGCGTTGAGGGCAAGTTAGACTCCAAAACCTGAACCCTACACCTGAACCCTAAAGTGAGGGTTTGAGGGCAAGTTAAACCCAAAGCCTGAACCCTGAATGTGAGCAAGTGAAACCCGAAACCTGAACCTTAAAGTGAGGGTTGGAGGGCGGGTTAAACCCAAAACTAAACCCTAAACGTGGGGTTTTGAAGGCAAGTTAAACCCCAAAACAAACCCCTAAACTAAACCCTAAACCTGAAAACAAAAAAAGCCAAAGGCTGGAAAAAGACCAGAAAGTGCTACTACTACTACTACTACTACTACTACTACTACTAGTATTACTACTACTAATGCTACTATTACTACGACTACTGCTACTGCTACTAGTACTGCTGCGAAGCGCAGCCAGACAGAGAAACCGGAAAGCATTTTTTGCGCTATGGCCCGCAATAACTTTCTATCTCATGCCATCATGGCGCGGTCGGTGCCAAGGCATTTTTGCAAATACAGCTCTCAAGTCCGCAGAGCAAAAACTTGTTTCTAGGCTAAGAATGTGCAAGGCCGAGGTCAAACAGCAAGCGCAGTTGTTGTTTCCAGGCCGGACTAGTTTCGTCGGGACGCAGCCGGCGCCTACATGTCACGTCCTGGCAAGTTTGTTTTTTGGAATCTTCATGACCGCTGAAGGTTGTTTTTGTTTTGAGTTGCTGGTCGGCTGCTGTGGGCTCCAAGGTGACATGCCCGAGTGGCATGTGGGCCACTTGCGCTGCAGACCAGAGGGTTTTAGCCACATTTTTGTCTACGCTACAGTTCCCAGTTTTTGGGTCACCTCAGACCTCAGGGTCACACTCATCACCCGGAATTTGCTCCACCCAGTGCGTGACGCACAATCCAAGATCAAATGAGCTTCTGGTGACCACGGCAAGATGTTTGAGTTTGCGCTGCGTTTTTGCCGAAGTTGCAGAGCGTGCTGAGGTGAAGAAGTGCTATATCGAGGCAAAGCAGGGCCGCCGCCGTGCTCTTAGGTGTTTGAATTTCTCCGAGAATGCTTCTGGCTCCCAGAGCTAGCCTTCATAGCCACTCAGACCATTCGTGTCCTGTACCAGCCTCTTGGCTTCTTGTTTCGTTTGGTTCTGTTGTTTGTCTGTTTGTCTCTTTGTGTGTGTGTCTGCCGGCCTGCCTGGCTGGGCTGGATGGCTGCCTTGTTACTTGGAGGGCTTTTGGTCTTTTGCAGGCCTACGTTTGCTTGTTTGCGCATTTGTTCTTTAGGCTTGTTCGTTTGTGTTGTTTGTTTGTTTCTTTGTTGTTCCCAAAAGCATTGTGAAGGGTTCTTCCGGTAAAGTCGTTGCATTCTGCGTAGGGAAAGTAGGCAGTGAAACGCATAGAGGCATGCGTAGGGAAAGCGCACAGTGAAACACATAGGGCAAGTACAGAGTGAAATGCATAGATGCATGCGCACTGAAAGTAGACAGTGGGTTGCATAACGGCATGCGCGGGGAAAGTAGACAGTGAAAGGCACAGAGGCATGCGTAGGGCAAGTGCTGAGGCAAGCGCATAGACGCATGCGCAGGGAAAATCGATCAGTGAAATGCAAAGAGGCATGCGCAGGGAAAGTAGACAGTGTGGCGATAGAGGTAGGCGCAGGGAAAGTGCATAGAGGCACGCGCAAGGAAAGTAGACAGTGAAATGCAAGAGGCACGCGCAGGGAAGTACACAGTGAAATGCGTAGTGATCTTGCATTCCTTGTTGCATGAGCGTAACCTGCACGAGGAAACATGCACGCTTTTTTAAAACGTAGTATCTCAAGGCGGCGTTTTGGGACCAAGCGCAATCTGCAAAAATGAGACGCTCTCAGTGATCGGCGTGGTCCATGAGCAAAACTGCTGGTTTTTGCGGTTCTTGCTTTGCACGCGCGGCCCTCTGCAGGGATCGGCGTGGTCGGTGCGCAAAAACTGAGTTCTTCTTTTGCGTTTCTTTGTGGTGCGCGCGCGACGCTCTGCGGGGATCGGCGTAATCAATGTGCAAGAACTGTTCCTTGCCACGCGCCCGCGACCCTCTGGGGGGGTCGGCGTGGTCGATGTCCAAATCTGTTTCTTGCCGTGTGCGCGCGGCGCTCTGCGAGGATCGTGCGTGTCGGATCGCTCGTGCGATGGTCCCGTGCGAATCTTGGCGGTTCGCGCACGACCCTGGGCTGAGATTGTGCGTGTCAGATCGCTCTCCCTGTGGGCCCGTGTGAATCTTCGCATATCTTCGCGGTCTGCGCGCGACCGTCTGCAGGGATCAGGCGGGCAAGTCGCAACTTGTAAGTACAAAAGTAGTACGCGAAGTACGTCCTCGCCGCTCCGGCTGCAACGTCGCAACTTTTAAGTACAAAAGTAGTACGCGAAGTACGTCCCCGCAGTTGTTTGTTGTTTGTTTGTGAGTTTGTTTGTTTGTTTGTTTGTTTGTTTGTTTGTTTGTTTGTTTGTTTGTTTGTTTGTTTGTTTGTTTGTTTGTCGTTTGTTTGTTTGTTTGTTTGGTTGGTTGTTTGATTGGTTGATTGTTTGTTTGTTTGTTTGTTTGTTTGTTTGTTTGTTTGTTTGCTTGCTTGTTGGTTGGTTGGTTGTTTGTTGGTTTCTTGGTTTCATTGTTTGTTGTTTGTTGGTTGTTTGTTGATTGTTATTTGATGTTGCTGCTGCTGCTGCTGCTGCTGCTGCTGCTGCTGCTGCTGCTGCTGCTGTTGTTGTTGTTGTTGTTGTTGTTGTTGTTGTTGTTGTTGTTGTTGTTGTTGTTGTTGTTGTTGTTGTTGTTGTTGTTGTTGTTGTTGTTGTTGTTGCGGCGGCGGCGGCGGCGGCGGCGGCGGCGGCGGCGGCGGCGGTCGTGGTCGTGGTCGTGGTCGTGGTCGTGGTCGTGGTCGTGGTCGTGGTCGTGGTCGTGGTCGTGGTCGTGGTCGTGGTCGTGGTCGTGGTCGTCGTCGTCGTCGTTGTGTTTGTCGTTGCCGTTTTTTTTTTGGTGGTGGTGCTGTGGTGGTGGTGGTGGTGGTGGTGGTGGTGGTGGTGGTGATAGCGGCTGGTGAACTGTACGTGTTTCTTTGTTCCATCCCCCAGTTCTTTCCCCCAGTTCTTTCCCACAGTGCGCCCACATGCCCGCAGATGATAAGCCCACACCAAAGTGCATCCGCCATGCCCCGCATTGCGCACACGTGCACACATGACAAGAACCCACGCCCAAGTGCATCCGCCATGCAGTGCACATATTATGTCCGCAGATGGTCGCGCGACTCTGGAGCAGAACTCGCACAAATCAGGACCCAATCCAGCGGAAAGCAGCAAGGGAGCACAAACTTGCCACACATACAGCAAGCAACACCAGTCTTGCGCTTGAATACTTTCAATCTTTGTTCAAGAGAACAAAGCAGTTCTCAGCGCGGCGTATTTCAAGGCTGAGTTATTGTGAGAACTGTTTGTGTAGAGAGATCATGTCACCTTCGTGCCATTCTTCTTTGCTCAAGATCTCCAAGATTGGCCACGACATGGCGAATGTCTCGACAGTTTCATTTCAGAGCCATGCTTGCGCGACTCTGAAACGTCTCCTTGTGTACAGAGCTGACCAACCGAGGCCGGCGTTGGGCTTCCAGCTCAACACGGGGCGATGGCAGCTGGGTGACCGATTCAGCAACAAAATGTCAGGCCAGCAGCTGAAATTCGAGTCTGAAACCTATTGGAATAAACCAGGGTTGGCAGTGCCTGACATTCACAAGTTATTGAAACGCCTGCTTGCAGAACAAGATAACCGAGATGTTGGAAGAAACCATTCCTAAAGTGAACCATTGGGTCTGGTAATGCCCATGCAGAGATGCTGGAGCGGGTAGGACTGCAGTATGCAGTTTGCAATTGCTCCACTCTGAATCATCAGCTCTCCGAAGGGGACATGTTCAGCTGATCTTTACTAGCATTCCGATATTCGCCGTGTGTTCTATGCGCCAGGCGCAGACAACCTCCCTTACCCACGTGAGGGCAAAGGCGGATTGCTCGACCACTGAGATGGTGACAAAGGCAGGCATGTGGCAGTCGACCAGTTGGATTTTGATTTTTGGCCGCGAAGGTTTGAGAATGACAACCTCTTAAGAAAAACGTATCCTGCATTGCGTACTCCGAAGGCAAACGTTGCTTCGCAATCGTGAAACAAACGATCTGGATTCAGCTTGGCTTGAATTTTTCCAGGAGGGTGCCTTCAAGGGCTTTGCCCAGCAAGGGCATGTGTTGCGAGTTGAGCGTGCTCATCATCACAGGCAATAAGTGCGTGGGAGCGAACAAGCCAAAGTACAAAATCGCATCAACCAAAAAGAACATGATGCGGAGTACTTGAATTCTGGGCCTTCTGGTGATGCAGCAGGATGTGGTCTGTGTCCACATCCCCCACATCACCCTTACCGTCCACATGAGTATGCCACCAGAGGCTGAGATCGGGAGGGAATCTCCTGACCCCCGCATCACAGAAGCAACTTCAGCCTGCTACATACACTACATGTGGCTGCGGCGCACAAGGCAAAAAGCCGTGCACATACCCTCGACAGATTGGCCGGCTCACCAGTTCAGTCTGCTCTTGAGAGCATTGCTTCCAGCATCTCCGTGATGAATCCTGGCCTTTGTCACCCAGCTCCTAAAGTAGACCTAAAGGTTAGCTACTCACAAAGAGTGCGCTAAACTGCTGATGATGCTGTGGCCCCGTGGCTCAAGGCAGGCTTGGTCCGTCCAGGTTCGTGTTGTAACGATAGCCAGCGCAGGGTGATGCAGCCACCCAGTTAGTGGCAGACCTGCCTATGGTTCGTGTCGGCGGCGGGGTTTGGCAGACTTGTCACAGCGTACCAGCATCCCCTGCATCACCGATTCCTGCAATTCATTCAGCCACTCTGCGTTTGGCGGTCTCTACGATGCAAATCCTGCTAGAGCATGTTTTGATTGACGCTTGTGCAAAACATGCTTGGCTTTGTGCCCAAGATTCTAAGATGGCCCGGACAGTCTTCCGTTTTGGGTATTGCAAAGTCGAGACTGCGCTCGGCGCTTGTTATTACGCTCGACTAGCGTCAGCGAATTTATTCTGACCCAATTGAAAGGCCAGCGTGCTTTTAGTGTTGAGTGGCTGAGTTCGCAGGATAGCGGCGACTGGAAGGAGGGCACGGTCTCAGCATCGTGCAGCTATGGTACACCTGTCAGCTGCAGCTGCCGCAGTGCGGGGGCCCTAGATTTTTCGCTTCCCAGATGCGTGGGATGTCATGCGATCAACATATTTTCGCTTGATTTGGAGGACCATGTTGCTCTGATTTTGATCGCTTTTCAGTTCATGCACGGTGTTGCACAACTCCATATACAACTGAATTAGTCGCAAGTCTGCTAGGCAAGCAGACTTGCGAAATACTGCAGCCTTCCCTGCCCTTCCTCTTACTGCCTCAAAACCAGGCCTGGAGGGTGAACGACAAATGTATTACTGCCGGTCGACGAAGGCTGGAAGGTCGTGCTGGGTTGGCAGTCATGTTCGCAGGCACGGTTGTCAAAGCGCCACTTGCACGGCCTGCTTTCAATGCTCAGCCCTCGGCTGGCTACGTTTATTCATGAGTTCGTGGGTCATGCAAGAGTAGACTTCTGAAGAATTGGCCATTGTGTTCATCCTTGAATCCGGGGAGATGAGCAACATCACAAGTAGGGCCTTGCTTGTTCCCCATGAAGAACGGTAGCGAAGGTGAAGGTGCCTGTTCGTATAGAGTTGGCAAAGTATGAGTCAGGCTGCCTCATAGGGTTGATGTTGTGGTAGATGGGGAAAGTTGGTGAAACGCATGCTGAGAGACAGACCGAAGGCATCCTTTTTGCAGTTGTCAGACGGATGAACCTTCGGCGAGCAGGGATTGATCCAGATGCGTTTGACTGGAATGGCAGCCAAGAACCTTGGTAACGTCTCCAGGGCCTTTTGGGTACGAAGACGAGGCATAGTAGGAGCCTATCCCCTGAGCTTTTCTAATGATAATTCCGGGAACATTGCACAGGTCGTGAGGGTTTCGTGGCACCCTCTGATTTCAACTTAGGTTCTGCGTGTCGCTTGCCCGGTGATGTCAGGGTCTCCGCTGCGGAGAGTTTCAGTCCATCGGGCAACACGTGCACTCGCGCGACGGCCCAGAATTTTCTTTTGCATGGATGGCCCACAGAATTCGGAGATCCACCAGGCCAAGTTTGCAACTTTGGGCTCCTTTGTTCAGATGACTCACTGTCAACCGCGCCCTACTTAGAATATGGTCGCTGCGACGCACACTCGCTTTATTCTTGGGCGAATGGCAAGCTACTGCGAGCATGCGTGTTTGCTAACTGGGAGGTGATTCACCGACTTCGCATGTTTGCATCATGTCAAAACTGCCAGCCATGCTGCCAAATTGAGGCACTCAGCAGCTTTTGTGACTGTTTTGGCTGATTTTAAGTTGGCTCCCTGCCCCGTGCAGGATTTCGTTTAGATAAAGTCGTGCAACCGCATGCATCAGACCTCAATATGTTTCTTGTTGACAAGCACTGCTCGATGGCCTGAACATGTAGATATGTTGAGTGTGAGGAAGTTGACCAGCAGCTGAAGCTCAGCCAGACTCCTTGAATTGTTTCCTTGATCTTGTCATTCCTTTCGCCAACAGGCACGACAGGCAGGTTCCGTGAGCTCGGCGTGGGCTCGGAGGGAGCAAGCCATTCCCTGTTTTGCAGGTCGAACTTGTGTGGTGCAATGGCAACGGCAAGGGGACTCATGCTGCGGAGCCGAGGCTACCCCGTTGTCGCAAGTCGCCGCCGTCGTCGAAGCCCCGGTGTCCAGGCCCGGGACTTGGGTGGAGGCGACTAGCGACTTCACTTTTTCTTTCAATCAAGCAGTTGGACTTGTTGAAGTCTTAACTGGCAGCGGTTTCGAAGTGCCAGCATTCCGCCGAAGGAGGCGTTGGCCTTGATTTGTCGACTCTCAAGGCCTCACTGCAACTCCTCGAAGGTTTACTTTCCTTCGAGGAATGTTTTTCTGATCTCGAGCGTTCGCTCTCATCAATATGGAACGAGGTGCTCGCCCCAAATGCTTGGGTGCCCATTCAGGCCAGCTCACATTCTCTGAGAATTGCGACCATTTTGACGGCGCATAGAAGCCCACCGTCCTTTGCCTTAGCGCACAGCAAGCGTAGCTAATTGCCCGTGGCGTAGACACGTGCGCCGCGCTCCGGTTGGTGCTCGCATGCAGATCTAAATTGGATGCCAGTGTTTTGGGGCCGGCCTAAGCGCCTGACAAAGGCATTTCCGGCATTGTCTTCTAATAGGTGCGCTGTCAGTGGGGATTTCTTTCTGCAAGATCTGACAGATCAGATCAGCGTCGTTGGTGATATTCTATGCAAGTCTCACCCACTAGTTGGGTACTAGCGCCCCTTTTTTGGACACTGCGAGCCCAATTTGTTGTTGATGGCCGTACGCATGTTGTGCAGCTCCTGGACAAGAAATTGCTTCACAACCACCTCCCCCGTGAATAGGACTGCATCAGCTGATACATTGGCTGCTGCAGCTGCTTGCCTCCAAACCGAGCTAATGTGAATCGCAGCGATATCTTGGTTTGACCGCAGAAGACCGATGCCTCTTGATGTATGTTTGTCAGAGCAAAGTCACAGCTTCCTTTTGCAGGGTTTGAACGTGGAGCTTCCCTTCCAACTTTGGGCATTAACTTGGCAGCCATGCACAATAGTTTAAAGCGGCCAGGTCACTGCAATCTGCAATGCCTCTTGGCAGACATCCGGTTGGAACTGGGTG